TTTATAAGTTAACCATACCTAAAAATTTAAAAAGACAGTTATTTGATTACTAAGTGATTGCTTATGATGTACGAAAACACTAAAATTATCTCTCACTTATGACTTATGGTCTAGAAAATTTAAGAAGAGGTTCTGGTTACGTCGTCTTTCATCTTCTATTCTCCTTCAGTTCAAGCCATGTCAGCAAATGTAGGCTTACTTATTTACATACATAATGGTAAAATTAAGTACTATTCCTTTTTTTTATAAAATAGCTACTTATCTTATAGGTTGACTTAACTATCTAGATAACTAAGTAGGCAATAATTTATAATTGTTAAAACGTTAATATTTTGATAACGGCTATTTTTTATTGCTAATAGTTAATGTTTATAGTAATCGTTACAGACATAAAAAAAACCTTAGATACGAATCGGGTAACTAGAACTGTTACCAAACCGTTATCCAACTTATTACTCATCAGAAATTTAGTTATTAAAATTTAACTTCAATACTAAGAATAGGTGCCTTTATTTTTGTAGCAAAAAAATGAAGTGTTATGAGACAATTCTTATTGTGTTTGAGGTATTTAATTCTTATGCATACTAATCTGTTTTAGCAACGCTACGTCTTAGCTGTCTTTATATCTTGGGTGTAAATATGTTGCATATACAAGATTGATTTACTACAACTAATAATATTATTACACTATGTGTCTCTAAATGTTGTCACATTTATTTCGTAACTGAAGAAATACTACACAGTAACCTAGTAAAAAGTGGCAGAACAGGGCCCTAACCATGAGCTTTCCAGATGGTAAGCAAGCGCTCTGCCACTTGGCCACTGAGAATTCTTAGTAATACTACGTGCTGTCTGCTACGAGTAGAATGAGCCAAAAAAACTAAAGTCAATATTATATGCTGTTGGCAGTACGGTTAATTTTAAAAAATACGCCTATCTCGATCATATATAAGAAATATTTGACTCACAGCTAACTTAAAGATAAGATTATTTTGTGAACATTTAACCTAAAAAACTTTATTTTAAGCATTTTTAGATAAGGATGTCTTATTTCTATTATTTTAATGACTTTTTGGCCCATATTCATCAGTTGAGCTGTATAATAGGATTAAAGAGACTAAATTAAACAAAAATACACAAAGCATACCAACAGTAATAATCATACTTTACTGTTTAAGAAAGTTTTGTTCTTGTGCAACTGGATAATGAATGTGATAATAACAGCTGCCAGAACGCTGACCTTTTTTTTCAATTTCACGATTTTTTGATTCAATAGATTTCTTATGTTTGAAGCTTCATTTACCGTCACAAGTTTCGCTTGTAATTAAATCATGCATAATTATTGCATTGAAAACATGTCATAACCTTATTCAATTTTGTAGTATTTATCATTGTGTAATTTTTTGCATAAAATCATATTACTTTATAAAAAAACCACTTCAAAGACTTCTTGTTTCTTTACTAAATCAGTTTTACAAAATGCTATTACGATTTTCAGCTTTATTGAAAATATCACTGAGTTTTCAATGGTAGATAAATGATGGTAGAGGAAATTTTGAAAAGTCTGCGTTTTAATTTAAAATGATTCTACTGTATTCTTTGCTAAATTAAAAAGAAAGTTTAGTTTAAGTGACTTCTTTTTATGTTTAGCCACTTTCAGAAAAAAAGATCTTTAACATATCATGTAACAATCTGATCTTACAACCATTAGGGTAACTGTGGGTATTACTAGCACTGCTACAATAACTGGCAGTCAATAGAAATATATACATACAAAATTATTTTATAATAATGAATATACAAAAAAATTTTTTTCGTAAAGTAGAAAACTGCACAAACATTATTCAATCGCATATTAGTACGAAACATGAATTTTAATTATTTTATCAATGATAACATAGACAGCTGTGTGATTCTCTCCCAAAAAATTGAATTTTACAGCAAAAAGCGACTTGCTTTCAATGGTATTTTTATCAATAAACAGGGCAAAATCACACAAGAAACAATTTATTAAATTTAAAAAAACCTCAATTTTTCGATAACTACAATGAAAATTAATTTTGAATGTTTTTTCTTTTTTAAATATTGATGCCAGTATTTGGCACAACATTTTTCGCTACTGTTAAATTACTGGCAGTGATTTGGTAAGGTACAGCAATCTAACCTAACAAAGTCATCAACCACTAAAGCCTCTTGCTCCGTATTTGTCTTGGCCTTCTGAAGATCAGTTATATCAGGTCCTCTGTGGCAAAAAATCAGTAAAGAAAAAAAAAGTAAAGTTGTTAAATCTGAAACAGCAGCAGAAAAAAAATAAGATCAGAGAAAACAAAAATGTTACAAATGAAAAGAGAAAGCGACAAATTAATCAAGCAAGAAAAAATTTGTATAAAACAACAAACTAGAATCGAAAAAGAAACGGCCAAACTTGTTGTACACCAAAAAAAAATTAATGAAATTGAACAAAAAAATTAATCCTAAGAAGAAATTTTAGAAAAGATAAAATTACAAAAAGATTTGTAAAACCAAATAAGCGAATTGCAAACAAAATTAAAACACATTGATAGCTAAATCTTTTTTTTTTTTCAGTTATCATAGATTTTATTAGATTAGGTAGATTTTATTGTGATTTTACGTGATAAGGGTTAAAAATTATATTTGCCAGTATTACATGGCCAGTAATTCGAATTTAGACAGTATTGGGGGGCCAGTAATACGTGCATGGTGTTAGTAATAGGAGCATGTTGACTGTTCACAAAAATATTTATTATTAATAATATGATCTTATTTATGTCCATTTAAAAAATCATTTTTTGTTTGTTATTAAATTAAGTTAATAATTAAAAAAAAATTAGATTGATACATTTTTCTTTTTCATACCATACATTTAAGTAGCCTAAGTCAAATAAGTGCCAGTAATACCCACAGTTATCCTATCAAAATTTTACCATTTCAGCTATTTCATAAATTTACTAATTTTATAGTAAAAGTTAAGGAGAGATGATGTATCATTTTAGTGACTTATTAAATAGTTTATAAATGAATCCAACTAATGATTGGCTTAACCTAGAATTAAAACCGCTTACACTCTAGGCTTCTTCCCCAAAAGCACGTCCTAAATAAGTACTTTAAGATTTCACGTAGTAGGTAAGAAGTGCAATGATTAAAATACTAATAAATAGAGAAAATCATTTAAATAATAGTTTTAAATTTTGTAATCTTTGGATAACTTTGATTCAGAGTACATCTTGGTTTTAATCAATCTACTGTGTAAACTAATAAGACAGTGTTTTCTGAGAATGATAAAACTCTATTGTCTAAATCAAACTACTTTATCAGTTTTTTTTTTTTCATATAAATTATAGGTTTTCATGTCAAGGTGAGAAAACCAATATTCTTAAGCTTACTCATGCCATAAGCCACTTATCCAGTTCTGTTGCAATTAATGTGGTATTCTGTGACTGTAAGCTTAAGAAAATAAAAAGTATAGTTACGATCGTAGAAGAACTCTTCATGTAAATAATTAAATACAGTGAAAAAATCGCGATTTTTCTATCATAGATTACTTGACTTCTATGAATTCTAGCGATGTCTTTAAGGGCTTGAACTGTAGTGCATTCTCTGTCATTTTTTAAAACTTCTCATAATTTTCAAACCTCATCAAAAAAATGTATCAGGTATAATAACAGGTGCTGCAGAAAAGTGTTTGCCAGGCAACGGAAACTCACCCTAAAAATGTATGGATATGTCTGTGTTCAGAAATGTTTACTTTAAGTCTTATTAAGAAACTTTTACAATATTATTAAATAAACTTGTAAACAAAGCATCTTGAAGACCGTTCTTTTTGCGTCCAAGTGTGCTTGGCGATCAAGCGTTGGAGAACACCTGAACAGTGGGGGTAGAACAGTATACTACTAGCCAAAAATAGCGACAATAGTTGATTGTTAAATTATTTTTATTTAAAAAAATGTACTTCACGTAACAAAAAAAAATTTTAAGTTAAGAAATTGTGAAATTATGAATAAAGGTAGGCCTTCTTTGATCCGCTATTTTGAAATTTATGACGAATGATCGTAGAAAGTACAGTTACTCCTTTTAAAAAAATTTTTCCAAAATTTTTACAATGATCTTTAAGATTATCCGTAAAAATGGTCAATTGTTAAAGCGCTGTAGTGGCCAGACGATTACACATACCACTATGGAACAAAAATTTTTTGAAAGTTTATAATGGATTCTTTGAATAATAAACATGGAAAAAAAGTTTCATGCTTAGCAAAATTTGTTTTTTTTTTTTAATTTTAATGTCAAAAGAAGGGTGAAAACAAGCCTTAAAAGATTAAAGTATATGTTAATTGTAATCTATAGGGAAAAACCTAAAAGAAGCCACATTTACTATTTTTTTAATTTCTTATTCATAGATGCAGGCTCTAACATATGCAAGTTCAACGTTTTTGTAGCAAAAAATCTAAATTTTGTGACTGTCCATGACAAAACCGTTGTGTGAATTTGGCTCTGAAGCTAAGGGCTTACTTTTTTTATCATTTATTTTTTGTACTCTAGTTAACGTGGAATCTCCCATATTTAAGAAAAATGGAGACTTCACTATTTCAATTTATTAATCAAACTAATCAAAAATCGTACTTATCATTAAAAAACAAAAACTGTTTGACTTTTAGATTTTTATGAAAATTAAAAAAAAATGTTTTTTTTGCCAAAATTTTTCGGATGGATAATGTCATAAGCCTGTTTAAGGAGCGTGTAATTGGTATACACAATGCCAATACATAAAATAAGGCCATTTTTGTTTTAAAAGTTTGTAAGATAGAACTTGCTCTAATGAAACTTTTAACTTATAATTGTAGATCAAACAACGGTCAGAGAAAACGCTACACCAAACGTTAAAAAATATACTTTACTCTCAGTTTCGACATAGCCTCCCGTAAAGAGCGTATATTAATAAATTTTTTTTATATTTAACATGTACATTAAAAAAGTATGCTTACCATCAACACCACTCCTGATAATAGCTGGTATTGCTACGGAGACTGATTCCACTGTTCCTTTACCCATAGGGCTTGTTTCATGCTGCATTATAGTTGCTCTAAAAAATTTAAATCAATATAATTATCTCAATAGTTATGATATTGAGTTTTAGGGCTGAAGCAATATTTCTGCTCGATTTTTCTACGATGTGTAAAAGTTTAGATGAATGACAAATATTTAAAAGTACAGAACAAAAACATTTAAAAGTAAGACAGAAATGCCTAAAATATCAATTTATAACGATACTTTTTATAAAACCACATTGTTTTTTTGCAAGAGCAAACCATTTATTGTTTAAGTATCGCCGTTGAGCATCAGCAGAATCATTAAATAAGCAATTTATTCAGGTCAATCTAAGGTTATTTTTAATTTTACCATAGTATGATAGTAATGCACAGTATTTTTTAAATTGTTTAGTTACGATACTATCTCCATTTTCCTATAAGGTTAACTATATGTTCGTTATTTTCCACTGAACTGCTGTGTAGATTTATGAGTAATCAGAGCTGTTACAATACTTCTGTATATTTTTTCTTAAAACTGAGCATCGTTAGTAACTTTTAATTGTAAACTATATTATAAATATCTTATGAATATAATTATCTTGGGAAAAGTATTCATGCAGCACGACAATTTTATGTGTATTACCAATTTTATACACTGCAACTACTTACTGTGTAATTGAGAGCTCGTAGTACTCTGCACTTTTAATTTATAAAAGTTTGTGTAATAAGTTATTCATAAAAAATTTAGTAGTTGGCTAACAGTAACTCTAGTATATTTTTGCTTTGGTTACAAAAATCAAAGTGTACACTAAGTACAGTCATCGGCACAGTGGCTGCAGTTGACAACCACACACAGAGAGACACGTATTAACACACGTATAACACCAATAACCTTTTTATATCATCCCTCATACTTGTTAGTGATACACAGAACTGAGATAGGTTAAAAAAATTTTTATGGATAACTCATTACACAAGCTTTCATTTACTGAAAGTGCAGAGTACCATGAGCCGTCAATTAGTTGCAATGAATATTTATGCCACCAAGTCCTTATGTATCATGGCGCAACAATTAGCTCACGACAAGTTCAGGTCTTGAAAAACTACGCTGCAGCGCTGCTGGTCTTCATCCTTACAGGGAATAGGTTAAACTATGTTAGAATGAATACAATACAGTTTTTGTAGAACAAACTTATATTTTGCAACGTTTTTGTAAATTATGGTTATTGTATTTATGATCTACGAACTATTATTTAAAAAAATTATTTAAGAGTGGCTAAGCTTGCAACACATTATGAGCTAGTAGTTCATATGGGGTACCTTGAATTAAGTTGTCGGAAAGTCAGCTCATCAGTGGGTTTTGAATTAGTAATGTTGTTTTGATTATTTATTACCTGGCAGCTTTAAAATATTAAAATTTCTAATTTTAGATAAATTTATAAATATAGTTACGATCCTGAATTCTAGCTGTTACAAGTATGTATTGCAATTCATCGTCAAAGATTCGATTAAAATTCAAATCTGATAAAATAACCCATAAAAATCGAATTCAAAATACATAGTCTTTTAACACAGAAAAATATGCAGCAAGTAAAAAGTTGGCTGGGAAGCTATATACTATAGTTTATAGCTTAGTACTAACAAAAACAACGAACAACATGAGACATTGGTTATAGTAGGTCTATTTTTCACTTATCTTTATCCATATTGGATGGTGCATTTTGCCACGAACGGTCAGTTAAGCCAGCACCCGTATGTTGGCACACCAGCGTACAACTGATGACACAATAGTGCATCTAAGAGTGCAATTAATACAGCCGCTCTTGGTGGCAGTCGTGGCTGAGTGGTCAGCATAAAATTGGGCAAATTTAGTTGATTAGATAATCAATTGGAATTATCTGCTCCCCATCTACTTAAGAATCCCCAAAGCTTGTTCCATAATACCATGAATTCAGATTGATTGTATTTAAGCTCAGACTTTTAAGTTTATAGAATGTTTGTAGACATGCATTTTTATAACATCCTGTGACATGTGTTGCAGATTCGTTATACACTGTTGGTTGAGAAGCAAGGGTCAGTCTACACCTCAGCATATTTCGACCAGGAAAAAAGCATGTCAAAATTGTGTTTTGTCAGAAAATTGCAAACGAGGATTTTGCTCTGAATTAAGCTGCCTTTCAAAATTCTAAACTAATATACCATATTTATAGTTGCTAAACTAGTCATAAAATTTTGGTATCCACCGGTGAATATCTGAAAAACATGTTTGAAACTGCTAAAAAATTTCTTACACGTTGTAGAATGAAACATCTATAAAAGAAGTTGTAGATATTATGAACTGATATACTTTGTTTTTCTAAACGTTTGAAAAAACTACTCAAAGTAACTGCCTTTTGACTAATTTTCAAAATAATGACTTATAAACATAAATGTACGAAATTATTATCAATTACAGGTTTCGATCCTTAGTAACATAATTTTTTTTTACAAAGTTCACTTGCATGGTACCTGCAAAACAACTATTGTTTACAAAGAAACCTCTTTTTTGTAACTTTATTTCGTCAGAGGTCATAGAGTATTCTGCCAGAGCTTATTATCTTTCTACATAGAAATCCCTTTAATTCTTCATTTAAGGTGAAACCTATATCTTATTGGATCCATGTTATTTTGACATGTATTATTGCATTAGAAACATAAGTGGCTAGTTTAAAGGGTGAAATTGGTAATTCAGTATCAGAAGGAAACATCAGAATCAAATTTGGGCACTTTCAATCGTGTAAACTCGCAAAATCACTGTGATCTCACAGAAAATTGTAACTTACCAATTAGAAGTACCTTAATAAAATAAAAATAAATAATGTACCTATGGTAAACAGAATTCTAGAATATTCAAACAAATACGAAGAAACTAAAATGGTAGATAAAGTGAAATTTCCGGTATTTCATGAAAAAAATTTTGAGCGTTAGAAAAGGAGAATCACGATGATTCTCAAATTTAAAAAATGCGACGTAGTAGCAACAAAAGTCGTGACAAGAACGAATAAAAAAGAAGAGTAGATTTAAAAGAATTTGAAGGCAATCAGTGTCATGTATAGTGGAGTTACAAATAATTAGTAACAGTTTGTAAAAGACAAAGAAACGGAGTACGAAATAATAGAGAAATTTGATGAAACTGTGTATAAAGGAGTGTACTTCACTGTAAATTTGTGTAAAAACAAGTGGGAAAAATAAAAGTTAAAAGATTTTGAAAATTTAAGTGCGTTTTTTACTGAGTTTGAAATAATAATTAATAAGGAGAAAAGTGCTGGTGCAAATGTGACTGAAAAAGAAAAATTAAGTAACATGATAAAAATGGTTCCAAGTACATTAAATTATATTGGTGATTGAATCAACGAGTTAAAAGAATCCGATCAAACAGTTGAATACATAAAGTAGTAAAAACAATTTTCGAGTTAAAAGAAAAAAAAATGGAAGAAAAAATAGTTAAAGTGCATTTAAAACTGAAAGAAAAAAAATCAAGCATGTTTCAAGTCCGGAAAATGTTGACACCTAAAAGCTCAATATCCGAGAATGAAGCAAAGCGATAATTCAGGGGAGCAAGGTGGTGCACAGAAACAAAGAGGTGGGCGACAATAACAACAGCAATGGCAACATTGTGGCAGCCAAGGCCAAGGTCATTGAGCTAGTAGAGGCTCTAGTCAACATCGTTGAGGAGGTGGTTGGAAGAAAAATAATCAAGGGCATTAAAATAAAGACGGTAATGTGAGTAGTTTTCATGTGGAATTCGAGGAAAGACCTAATGAGTCACATGTTAAAGTAAACACCTATGCTAGTAAGGTTAAATGGTTACTCGATAGCGGTTACTCAGATCATGTTATACATGATGATCGATATTATTATGAGTCTATTGAATTAAAAGAGCCTATAAATGTAACAGTAGGTAATGGTTGTTCTTTAAAAGTAAAAATAGTAGGTAATACAAGGCACACGTATAATGTTTATAGTCAAAGTAAAATAATTATAAGAAAAAATGGTTTGTTTGTTAAAGATATAGATGGAAATTTAATGAGTTACAGTAAAGTAACAGAAGCAAGTAAGATTGTATCAGTAGGTAAATATGTCAAAGATTTTGATCATAATCTAAATTCAATTGCATTGGCTATTAAAAGCAATGATATTTATGATGTAAACAGGAGGTTGTGTATTCAATCCACACCTGAAAAAGATATTTTTCTCTTTCTTTTATATTTTTTAAAACAAATTTCTTGAAAAAAAATTATGAGGATTAGTATTATGGATTTTTAGTATATTAGATATCAAGAAAGGGCATGTATGGATTATGTAGACAGAGCTTATATTAAAAGTGATGCCATCTACTCATATGCACCTCTTGATAGAATTATAAAGATGTATTAATATTTGTTTGTATACCGATTGGACGTAATAAATTTCTAACTGAACTACAAGCATTAAAGTCTTGTACCTTTTATATCGAGCTTAGGTGAGAGACAGCTTAAAAATTAAGAATGAGAACTTGTTTAAACCTACGATGCGAGCGAGTGTACGGCTTCTCTGTAGCTTAAGTGGTTTTCAACAGTCGAGAGGATCCCATATCCAGTGTATTTGTCTGATTCTTTCAGTCGTTGGGCGATAGCAGCAAGGAGTCTAGACAGTGGTTGGGAAAAGTGGATAAATGAAGCAGTTGACACATTGAGATTATGAAGCAGTGTTAACTGTTGGTATTTATTATATTAAGGGAGGGCTCTTGCAACTTTCGCAGCATAGGTCTCGTCAGGTGAGCGATAATCTAGCAAAGCGTGAAATATAAAATAGAAACTGCCCGTGACACTTTAAAATTAAATTTATGTAAAACGTTTAAAATTGACAAATAGTATCTATTTTAATAATTAATAATAAATGAAATAATATCTCACACGGTAACACACTTCTTATTTTCAAAATTTTATCAAAAATTTGTGAAGCATTGGCAGAGCTACAGGAGTTAAAGTAGATATCACTCTTGACATTAATGTACACGATCGTTTATTCATCT